CCACAGCATGGCCTGAGCAGTGGTGCATCTGTCCCTACTTCAGATCTGAACCTGCCAAACCCGGGCCACCAAAGTGGAGTGTGTGAACTTAACCACTACGCTACTGGGCTGGTCCCTGTTTACTGGAGTTTTAATTCTGATTACTATAATTTTCATTTCTAGACGTTCTCTTTGGGATTTTAAAAAATCTATCTGATCATTTTTTGATAATCTCTTATTTTTGCCAATACTTTAATTCTCTTTTTTATTTCTTTAAATATGTTAAACATGCTAATTTTATATCCTATATCTAAAAATGGTAATAACTGAAGGATTTGTGCTCCTGATTTGATATTTGTAGTTTACACTGAATTTCAAGTTTGTTTGTTTGTTTGTTTGTTTGTTTGTTTTTTACTGTGAAACAGTGCCTGTAGGAATTATTTGAGGCCTGAGGTGAAGGTGAATTTCTCCAGAATTTGCCTCTGTTTCTGACAGGTGTCTGGGGTCCCTACCGTCTTGAGGACTTTCTTTTCTCCAGGTTTCTGGATCACCTAAGCAGTGGGAATTCAATCCACAAGTCTGTGCTGCAGTCAGCTTGTGTTCATGAGTCTTCTTTCCCTCCTTTCTCCAAGAGTTTGCTTGTCATATCCGTAGCTGGGGTGGATTGCTTTTCCAATTGCTCGCTGAAATTACAGATTTATACAGGGTTCTTCACTTTGACTCCCCAATTTATTAGTGGCTCTAGGACTTGTTGACTGTCTTCAGCACAGTTATTAAGTACAGTTTTGGGTTACGAGAGTTTGGCAGATGCCCTTAAGGCAGTGTGCAGGGAAGAGGTAACATAGAGGGCTGCCCCCTACAGGGCCCTGCTTGCAGGGCTGGCCCTTGGTTGTCTTCTTGGACTTTGGCTTTTGGAGTGTTCCTGTGCTGATAAGGTTGTTTTGTGTGCCTGGAGCACTGAATTCCACTGTATCAGCTTGCCTGACTGTTTGTACAAACAGTGTGGTTTCAGATGGACATCTGCTTTTCTTCTGGGAATCTTGAATTGCAGTGGTTGTGCAGGCGGAGAGAGTGTCTATGTGTCCAGCCCCCAATAAAAGCCCTGGGCTCTGAGTCTTAAACGGGCTTTCCTGGGCAGAAACACTGCATACATGTTACTGTGTGGCCCCTCACCAGTGGGAGGATGTAGGAAGCCTGTGCCTGGATTCCTCCAGAGTCCACCTGATACATCTTTTTCCCTTGTTGATATGGCTGTGTATCCTTTTGCCATAATAAAACTTAGCCATGAGTACAACTATATGCTAGATCCTGTGGGTCCTTCTAGTGGAGCACTGGACGTGTGGGTGGTTGTGAGACTCTGAAACAGGCAGATACTGGTTTGAAGACTCAGCTCTCTGAATTCGTGCTCCTACTTCTATTATGGCCTATTCAGGTTAGCCATGAATACAAAAATATCTGACTCATATTTTATCCTGCAGTTTTAGATGTCTTTTTCATGGGACAATTATTCAGGGTTTTATTTCATCATAGTGTTGGATATTCTTCCTTTAAAAAAGTGATTTCCAAAATGATTGCATCTTGGTGTTATGTTATCTATCTTTTTAATATTTCCAAACAGTCAAAATAAAAAATCCAATTCTCACATTGCCAAGCATTCACCCTCTTAAATCGTAATTGTAGGGGTGTGGCTCAGAGTCTCAGCTCCCTTCAGCCTTCGTACCCTGGCATTTGGGCCTACAGTCCCAGGACCAACCTCAAAGAGAGTCTATTTTCAGGGCTAGCGACTCTAGTCCTAGATGGGAGGCTGGGAGTGGGAAGAGCTTTGTAGGTTTGCTATTGGCTCGTTCTCCACTGCCTCCCTCAGCCAAGAGAAATTCCCTGGAATAACTAAGCAAGAAGCTGGAAGCACCGACATGAGAATTTATTATCATCACTGCTCAGGAGGGCACATGAAGCGGGTCAGGTGGGTGAAGGTGAGCAAGAAATGGTGGGAGCCGCTATGACGGTTGGTGGGGCGGGGCAGTGGCCACGGCCATGACTGGGGGAGAAGGATAACTGGGGCTTTTCTCCAGTCGGGTTCTCCTTCCAGGAGTCAGATGCAGGGACGCCCGGTCCAGAAGGAGCTCCAGACCTGAGTCCTCGGGAGAGGCATGGCTAGATCTCGCTCACTCCCAGCAGTTTCTTCTGGTCTCTTTTCTAAGGGAGGAGGAGGGGCGAGACAGCCCGATGGGGAGAGAAAGCCCAAAATCTCTCCTCTAGGGCAGCTTAGTTCTGGAGCCAACCAGATCCAACATCGGCCTCATGGCACCTGATGCAAAGAGCCCCAAGGTCCCACCATGGATATGGACTTCCCTGGCTCCTGGGGTCTTTGGCCTGGGGCCACCTGGTCAGGGATAGGTGCTCTCTGGGCCGGGCCACCACTGGAGTAGAAAGACAGGCACGATGCCTCTTGGTACTCACTGTAATGGGCCCTTTTCTCCTCCCCAAACCATCCACTCTCCATTCCCGTCTCCTCCAGACAGCCCTGCCACCCCAAGCATACAGACACATATGTTAGGGACACACCTCCTTAGGTCGGAGTCTTCTCCAGCAGTACAGACACAGGGGGGCCAGAGATGCCAGAAGTAGCAGAACCCAGACACCCAACAGTGTGGCCCGAACGCTTATGAACAGGGCCTGGGGACAGAGGAGCAACACCAGAGTGACTGTTGCCATCTGTGCTCTGTCCCTACGCTCATCCCCAACAGTGTCCATCTTTACCCTTCATCCCCAAGTCTGTGGCTTCTGGAGGGGGCTGAGGAAGGAGCCCTGTGTTGGGGCCGGGCAGGGGGCAGTGCGGTCGGTGGGTCTAGTGTGCAGAGAGCAGCCAGGAGCCCCTCTCATCAGGCCTCAGCGTCCTCATCGGAACAGTGACGGGCTTGGGCTGTGATCTGATTCCCGACAACCCCAAGACTCAAGAGGATCAAGGGAGAACTCGCATTTAACGCCTTTGCAGCACTTCGCACACTTGCAGTGTTGGCTCATTTATTATTATTTCGCTGTTTGTATTTCCCACTAGTCTGTTTTGTTCAATGCCACATCTGTGGTGACAGCAGTCAAGTTGGGGCAGAATAGACACTATTTTTGATGGACAGCCTTTCTCTTGTCCACCATCTGGGCCCTCCCTGCCCACCGCCTGCTGCCACCCCTTCCCCTTCCCCACCCACCTTTAGCATGTTCAAGTAAGAGAGGCACAGGTGCAGCCTTCTGACTTCTTCTGGACTCGGAGTGTGGGGGGGCATGGTGGGCCAGCTTCCCGAGGGAGAGATATCACAGATATAGTCTCTAAAATGAAAGCGATACTCATAGAAATTATCAGCCCCAAGGACGACAGCAGCAGTGGCCGTGGAGAAAGCTGCCAGGGCGAGCAGTGTCCTCAGCTGGGCCTGATGAGGAGAGGAGGCAGAGAGAGACCTTGGTGATTCAGTCTCTCCTGGAGCCCAGCCCTGGGAAAAGACGGTGAGGCCCAGTGGAGCTGGCGTGTGATGGGGCAAAAGGCTTGGGGTGGCCTCCAGCTTCTGGGCCTAGTGTCAACCCCTGCCCTTCCCTGAACTCACCCAGTAGAAGCCACCCTGTTTCTCATAAATGAAGGCAACGGCTCCAGCCAGCACAGCCTGGGGAGAGATTGAAGCCGGAGCAGGGTTAGCACAGGACGGGCAGCCCCTCTGGCTTCTGTTTCCCTCTGTAACTGTTGTAGAGAGAACGACCACCTGCCGGCCCTTCCCCAGAATGTGCTATGTGGACCCAAGGTTCTGAGCTAAGCTTTTTTTTTTTTTTTTTTAAAGATTTTATTTATTCAGTTTTTTCTCCCCCAAAGCCCCAGTAGATAGTTGTACGTCATAGGTTCACATCCTTCTAGTTGCTGTATGTGGGACTCGGCCTCGCGTTGGACGGAGAAGTGGTGCCTCGGGGCGCTCCCGGGATCCGAATCCGGGCCGCCAGCATCAGAGCGCGCGCACTTAACCGCTAAGCCACGGAGCCGGCCCTCTGAGCTAAGCTTTGCTGTCTGTAGTAAGGTAATGGTGAAGGTGTTGAGGCCTGGACCAAACTCCTGAGGCTGTAGGACCTTCTGTTTTAGCAACATCGAAAAGTGCTCATGGTCAGGCCAGGTGTGAGCTCTCCTTCCCTTCTCCAAAACCTCTTTTTAAGCAACACCAGGTGCTTAATGAAAGTTCCAGGATGGTGGGGTGGAAGTCCTAGGTTGCTGGAGAAGCTCTCCCTATAGGATGGGTCTCTGAGCTGCCTCAGATCTAGGCACCTGTCCCCACAGTGCTCAGCAGCCCACTCAGCTGGGCTTACAGAATAGGAAGTCGGGTATGTCCTGGTGGATGGACTGATACGAATCCTGTTGGTAATTCTGTAAGTAATCCGTGGTTTGCCGTTGGGTGGTTGAGGATGATTACTTTTGGCCCCTCTCTCAATAAATATGTGTGTGTCGCTGTTATTCTGAGTGTGGGTGTGCTAAAGGACTGCTCAATCCTACCATGACCTGCCCACCCAGCTCTTATTGCAGATTGCACACCCCATGTGTTGATATGAACCGCTGTCGTTCAGTGATACCCACTGGACTCCCACTGTTTGCAGGACTGCAGAGGGCAGTGGGAAACGAACCGCAGGTGACCCTTCCTTGTAGAGTATACACTCTCCAGCACAGTCTGCCTCCCCCATCTCAGCGCAAGCATCTGGAGATGAGCTGGGTCCTAGAGCCTGAGTTGATACTTGCTGTTGAAGGTGGGGGAGGTGGCCAGCCTGGTGGGAGAAGGCCTGGGCAGGGAGCCAGGAGAGCTGGCCGGGTGGCTTTGGACATACCACCACTTCCCTTGGCTATTTTCTCTTCTGTAGAAGCAGGGAATTGGCCATGATAACTCAGGGCCTTTTCGATTGTACCGTGTGGATGGTGATGGTGCTGATGGCGATGGCCTGTCACCTCTGACAGCAGATCCATCTGCCCCTCCCGGGCCCGTCAACCACACTCCGGCCTCACTCACCACAACCCCTGTCCAGATGGCAGCTCCCAAGTTACACGGTGGGGAGTAGAAGAAGTAGAGGAATCCTCCCAGGACCCCACTGAACACCCCCAGCACGATCTGCACCACCTGAAAGACGAAGAACTTAGGAACTTGACTCCCAGCTTCCTGGGCTCAGGAGCAACACTCTGCCTCCAAGTCTTGGGGTAGCTTTGAGGACCTGCCACTTCAAGTATTAAGAGTTAAAACCCATGAAAGAGAAAGAGAGAGGAGAGAGAAAGAAAGAGGGAAGGAGAGGAAAGGAGGGAGGAGAGGATGGAGGGGAGGCAAGGGGAGTGAAGGGGAGGGGAGGGATGGAGAAGAGGGAAGAGGGGAGGGGAGGAGAGGAGGCAAGCCAGCCTATGCTGGTGTGGAGAGGATGGACTCAGGGTTCCACCAGCTAGGACTTTAAATGATCAGTCGGTCCTTCGCACCCCTTCAGCTCACAGCCTACTAGTACTCATGCTACCTACTAGAGCTTTTATTGAAAAGGCCAGTCAGTGAGGAAAAAAGCCAGAATAGAACACAGGAGAACCTGATTTCTAGTAAGAAGATAAAACTAGCTCAGTGTCCTATTCGGAGAGAGGCTGGTGGAGAGTGTGTGCAACAAGAGGATGGGTCTTCCCTTTTCTGATCCAGGGAACCTCGTGCCCACTGAGCCGCATAAGGCAGGCAGCCCTACTCACCCAGGAGGCCACCAGCAGCCGCCTGCTGCCCAGGGTCTGGGAGGGGGACCGCAGCAGGGAGCACCCACTCAGCAGGAGCTTGGCCAAAGCTGACTCCTGGTGGATGTGCACGTCGATGCGGGTGGGCTGAGGGGCGCCAGGGGCCACCTCACCATGGTCTACCGTCCTCATGCCTGTGGACATCGTCTGGGAGGGAGGAACGGAGAGTCATAGAGGAAAAGTTGGCAGAAGGGTTTCATGGATTTCACTGGAATTCAGAACTAGTGGAGGCCCCTGGTCACAGAGCAGCATTGCTGGCCCTCTCTCCCGAGGGGTGTGGTGTCAGGACAGCCTGACTCTGCTGGGGCTGTGGCGACCACTGTGCCCACTGGAACCTCCCTCTTCACCCCACAGCTGCTCTGTCCTCTTGTCCTCCTCCCAGAGCCTTGGGGTCTGGACCAAGCAGTGCCCTGTATTCCTCACCTCTCCACCCAGCCGGCTCCTGCGATCACGGCCCACACCCTGGCTCTTCTCCTTGTCTCTGCTCCTCCAGAGCCCTCAAGCCACCCGACAGAACCCGAGTCCCAGCTGCCTGCTGAGCTTCTAGTGTAGCAGCTGCTGCCCAGCTGGGCCTGGGGACACCCCTCAGCCTCTAAATACCTCCCTCTCTGCCAATGGCCACTCAGCCCCGCACTGCCTGTTGAAGGACCCCCGCCCCCAATGAAGGACCGAGTTGTGGTTGGAGAGGGAGGTCAAAGGCCAGACTGACTTGGCATCAAACAGGGATGCACTTGGCTTGTGTTCTTGCCACCTTCCTTAGTCACATCTTCTACATGGTGGTTGGTGCCTCCCTCCCTCCCTCCCTCCCTAGTAAGTCCTGAGGGTCGAGGCTGCAGAGGCCTGTGAGGGGGCAGGATGGTGAATCCCCTGGGGAGGGGCCCTGTGAGAAGGGTCTCTGGGAAAGGGCCACCTGGGCTGTGGGCCCGCCTCACCTGCTCTCTTCAGGGATCCGTGGCTGAGTGTGTGAGTAGGGAGGGCTGGGAGGATCTGAGCTGGAGGTGAGGACCCGGCAGAAGCAGGAGGAAGTTGGTGGAGTGCCAGAAAGGGAAGGACAGAGGCGGGACTGGTGGGACTTAGCACGAAATTTCCCAGAACTCAGCTGGGCAAAGGGGTCCCTCTGGGGTTTTCCAGCTGCCGGAGGATCACTAGGCTCTGGTGCTGGAGAGTTTGGGGGCCAGGTGGGTGGCCTGGGAGATGTTGGAGCTGACCAGTCCTGGGAAACCCTATGAGGCTGTCCTCTCCACCACCCCGACCTGGGCAAGGCCTTTCTGAACAACAATTTGCCTGTGCTGTGTGTGAGCCCCAATGTGTGTGTTGTCTGAGTAGGTACGAGTGTGCGAGTGTGTGTGTGGCTGTGTGTGTGTGCTCTGCCTTCTCCAGCCAGCCTGATTATCTGCTCAAGTCCGAACCCCCCCAGAGGGACCCCTTTGCCTCAGCTATTTTCTCGGATGTTGTGATGCTGAAGGTCAGGCCCTCATCCCTCCACTCCTTCCTTCGGCTCTTCTCCCTCCCACCCGCCAGCAGGTCCTCAGATCCAGGCCAGCTCCTCCCAGCCCTGCTCTGCTCTGCCACTCCCAGGGGACAGCAGGTAAGCAGGGCCCTCACAGCCCTCACAGCTCCGTGGCCCCTTCCCCGGAGACTGCAGGACCCTTTCTCTCTTGAGGAGTCCCCAAGACAAGTCCCCAGAGCCTCCATCCTGGCTCAGAAGGTGCCATTCTCCCGCATTCCTGGTTCCCATAGGCCTTGCTCGAGAGGGAGGGATGTTCTAGACAGAGGATGTGACCCTAGAAAAATGGCTGGGGAGGCAGGAGGGGCATGTGTCTGGCCCTGTCAGCCTGGCTCTCCGTCACACTCACCAGTGCCTCACGCCTTTATTCTGGGGCGGGGGTGGTGGTGGTGGTGGTGGTGGCTGAGGCTCAGGCTCCGGTGGTTTGGTGGTGAGAGGTCCTTTGGAGTGAAGCCGGAAGGCAGAGGGCCCAGGTCATTGCAGGATCCTGGTCCTCTCTCCTCTGCTCCAGGGGCACTGGGAGGAGCTGGGCAGAGAAGAGCATCCAGGGCAGCAGGGAAGAGCGCCACAGCCTGGAGTCAGGGTGGTGTGGGAGGGGAACCTTCGTGGGGCTGGCCTGGTTCAGAGGAAGAGCAGGGGACTAGGCTGATCCAGCGGTTGGAGTGGAGTGGGGAAAGTGGTGGTACTTGCGGGGCTCACAGCGAGCTGCAGGCCAAGGCACATTCAGGGCCGCAACACGATGCCAACTCCTGGGCCCCAAGGGATGATCTGGTTGGAATCTGAGCTGGACTTCCTTGTGTGTGTCTGTGAACAAGTCTGAACCTCCTTGTGTGTCTGCAGAATTGTCAAACACCCGACATTTATACCTCAAAGGAGGCCAGGTAGGTGAGGGAGTGAAACTACTTTGAAAAGCACATAGAATACAGATGGGGAGACTACAGGATTGCTATTGTTGCTGTTGTTATCAGAATTGTCATTAATAATATTATGATTTAAACGACGGTAATTAAGTAGGATGCCCATTAGCGTTACCTATAGAGAATTTCTTCTGAAGCTAGGCTAGAATCAACCAAGTTGATTCTAAAGTGCATATGGAGAAGTAACCTAGCAAAAATGGCCATGAAAGAAAAAAGTAACGTGAAATAGCTTAACTAAATATTAAACGTATACTCATAATTAAAATTGTGGTGCATGACTCATCAGACCCACCAATGGGCAGAATATAAAGACTCGAATAGACCTGAATTCCTAGGGGAATTTTGTTTTTGCTCAGGGGAGCATTTCAAATCAGCGGGAGAAAGAGGATGTATTCCACAAACAGAACATGCCCTTCAGAAGTTAACCATCTGAAAAAAAAAAAAACCCAACCCAACTTGGATTCATATCTTCCAATTTACAAGATAAATTCCAGACAGATCGACATTCAAATGTGAAAACCAAAAGCATAAAACCACTTAGAAGAAAACATGAAGAATTATTTTATAATCTTGAAATGGGAAAGTCCTTTTTAAGTATGATGTAAAACCCAGAAATCATAAAAAAGATTGAAGACTTTGATTATATAAGATACAAGCAAAGTCAAAAAATAAATCACAAATTGTAAAGAAATATTTGGAACTCATGTGTCACAGATAGTAATTTTTCAAATACACAGAGAACTCCTGTAAAGACTGAAATGAAACAAAGTAAAACAAGAAGGACGTAGGATATGAACAGAGAGCACACAAAAGAAGAACTGAAAATGGCCCTTAAATGTGAAAAGATGGCCAACCTCACTCGTAATAACAGAACTAAGAATTGAAACTATCCTGGAATAGTCACAGACAGCAGATCAGTGGTTGCCTGGGGCAGGGGTTGGGAGATTTACTCCGGAAGGGACATTAGGGAGCTTTTTGCAACATAGAGGTCTTCTATATCTTGATTGTTGTTGTGGTTGCACAAATGTACAAATTTGCCAAAACTCGTTGAGATGTACACTAAAAAGGGAGCATTTTATTGCATAAAATTGATTAAAATCTACAATGGAATGTAATTTTCCTGATGTACATCTGAAAGAGGTTAAAAGGTTTGCTGACACCTTCTGCTGGCCACGGGGAGGGGCAGTGGACATTTGACCTTCCTCCTGACTGTGAATTGCTTGGAGGTAGCTCCATGAGGGCAGTATCTATTAAAATACACATGCGCATTCCCATTCACCTGCCAATTCCACACAGTTTGTAAGAAAAAAGTAGATGTCTATCCATAGGGGACTGCTTAAAAAAATTCTGATGCAGTCATACAATGGCATGCTCAGTGGCTGTACAAATGAGAGAGGAAGCATCTTATGGACTGATGCAGGATTATTTTTAAACATGGTTCCATGAACAAATCATTGTGCAGAACAGTGTGTGTAGTATCCTGCCATTTGTGGGAAAACCAGAGGAGAAATATCATTGTAGGATATGTAAGAAAATGATAATGTTATTTTCCGTCTGGAGGGCAACTAGATGGCTGGGAGAGAAAGCCGGGAGAGAGAGCTTTAAAGGTATACCCTTTTGTATCTTTTGAATTTTTTAACCATATGAAAGTATTATGTGTAATACACAGACTAAGTCACTGAAATAATTCACATTCCTTTCTTTGTCCAACCTGAGACCCAGACAAACTTTATCAGATCATTTTGGGGAAAGGTCCAAGAATATATGTGGTGAAAGACTCTGGAGGTGATTCGGCTTTGCACCCCAGATTAAGGTCACTGTGGCATTGATGCCTGCACTGGAAGGCCCTTTAGATCTTGACAAGGAGATTGTTTTCTCTCCTTTCACTCAAGCAACGTATTCCTTTCTGCCTCACCTCGTTCCCAGACCTCAGTTCTGTACGTCTTCTCCCCAGCAGGCAGGATGACCCAAAACATGGTGACTGTGAATGGAGTCGATGTGGCCTCTGCGCCGTCCCAGCCCACCCACATCAACATCCACATCCATCAGGAATCAGCTTTGGCACAACTGCTAAAAGCTGGAGGTTCCCTGAAGGAGCTCCTTTTCCGCCCTGGGGACAGTGGCCCTTCCAAGGCCAGGATAAGCTATGGGCAGTTGGCCCTAGGGGTAAGAGAGGGGCTGGAGAGGTGAGTTAGGGAGGTGCCACAGAGGAGGACCCTCTTCTTCCTCAGTAGGATGCAAACAGGGAAAATGGGTTGAATCCCAATGAGAATTCACTATTTATATCCCATCTTGTTTGGGAAAAGGTTTTGGAAGTTTCCCCACAGAAGATTGGATGGAAAGGGATGATGGACTTCTTTGGTGCAGGGGGGCAGTCTCAGCCAGAGGTGGGGGATAGGTGAAAGAATCCCTGTTAATTCAGTTTAGTGGAACCCACGTGGACTGAGGGCCTGCAGAGGCAAGGCAGTAGGCTAGGCACCTCAGGAAGAACTGTGGGAAGAATCACTAGGCTACAACCTAAAGGTGCTCAGCATCCATCAGAAGGGATCAGGCAACTACACAAATGCCTAGAATTAAAGGTAGATCAGGTGATGCCCTTGGGAGGCAGGACAGCATCCTGCAGGAGTTGGTCTGAGCCAGACTTTTAGTAGAGACGGAGTGGGTTTAGACATAGAGGTGGAAGATGGAAGAAAAGGAATTCTAGGTTAAGAGAATGGCAGGTGCAAGGGCAAAGAAGCCAGAAAGCACAGGGCAAGTTCCATCAGAGTAAAGAAAATGGGACTCATGGCTGATTAGACTGAATGGAGACCAGGGCTATATTGCCGAGAGCCTTGAGTGACGAGGTGAGGAGTCTGTCCTGAATCAGCTGCGATAGCAGGAAGGCTGTGGATGGATTATGAGTAGGAACCTGGGATTTAGGCTGCCTCACAGCTAGAAGCTGTCCAGGTAAGAAGTATAGAGGGTCTGTTCCTGCGTGGTCAGAGCAGAAATGAGGAGGAAAGAGAGGAGTCCAAATCCTTTGTGGATAGGGACTCCATGACTTGGGAGAGAATGGGCTTGGGGTACAAGGGAGGAGAGGAGTCCAAGAACGTGGTAAGTTTTGGAGTGTGGGTGACCAGGAGATTGGAGCCCTGGAAGTCAGGAAAGGCAGACATTGGGGGTGTCAGTGGCGGGTGGAAAGTGGATGTGATGAATCTGAGATGCTAGCAGGACATGCAGGTGGTGATGTCCAAGAGGCTGTGATAGCTGGATTCTCCAGGAAGCAGATGCTGTGTCCGAGTTAGGTGTGCAAAACGTCTATTGGGATGTAACATCTATGAAACGAAAGGGAGGGAGCAGGGTTGGGCAGGGGGAGACCTCAGACCATGATGCAGGCCAGACAAGGTCTCTGTCAGCCCCGTGGGGAGCTGCAGAGCAAAGACTTCCCTTACAGGAGCTCTATGTTGGGTGGAAATGGCCCTTGTACACTGCCTCGCTTAACCATTGGCTGGGCAGCCATCCCCAAAGGGTGTGCCCTTGGCTTGAAAGATGAGACGGTCCTTGAAGGAGCTGACCTACAGTGGCAGCTAACCACACTCCTTTCTTGGAGGGGAGTCTTTTTGGCCCATCCCGGATAGGATGTTAGGATTCTCAAGGGAGAATGAGGAGAAAAAAGTGAGAATCATCAGGCAGAATGACAAAGTGTGGTATTTAGGAAAAAGTAGTGAAGGATAAAAGCTTGGCATGTCAGAGGGATAGGGGAGAATAGGACATGCTGCTTCATGGATGTTAAGGGAACAGAACCTTCCAGAATCAGAGCTGCAGAGAGGTCAAGGCAGAGGAAAAGGAGAGGAAAGCCACTTAAGTGGGAGCTGGGCAGTGGCTCTTGGGGCTTGTGGGCTCGTGGGAAGGTCTGGTCCTGTCTTGCAGGTGACCCAGATATTGTTGGGGGCTGTAAGCTGTGTGTTTGGAGTATTTCTGTACTTTGGACCCTGGACTGAGCTGCGTGCCTCAGGCTGCGCCTTCTGGGCAGGGTCTGTGGTGAGTAAGGAAGGGGCTGTGAGCTCAGTGGGAGGCAAGTCGTTGGGCAAGGAGAAAGGTCCTTTGGATCTGGGTCAGGGATTTGGGAAGAGACCAAAGGCCCAGAGTCCAAATGCCCTTTACCATGAGGAAGCTGCCTTAGGGGGCGGGCAAAACCCTTTCACTCTCCATTTTCTTCTTTAAGGCAAGGTTAGGAGAGTGAGGCAGTTGTAATGGAGTCCTGTCCATATGCCAGGTTCCTCTGCCTGGCCCTGGGATCCTGCTTCCAATTGGCTCTTCTGGGAACTGTTCGGGGAAGGGTGATGGAGATTTTAGGAGAGTAAATTGGAGGACTTTTCTGGTGTCTTCTCTTCCCAGGCTATTACAGCAGGAGCAGGGGCCATTGTCCATGAGATGCACCGGGGCAAACTTTCAGTGAGTCTTGGGCATCCTCTGTCCCTCACCTTGTCCTCTGCCCCCTCCTCTGTCTCAGTTTTTCTGCTCTATTTTTCTGTCTTCTCCCCTTTGGTTCCCAGTATCCTGGGATCCTTCCTGGCAGCGGGGGGAGGTTTTCCTGGGTCAGGAAGCTGGAGAAGAGGGGACAGGTTTGAGGCCAGGACCCTATGGCTCTGCCATCAACAGAGGAAGTCTGCAGTCTGAACATCTCTCTTTTAGGGCTGGGTATCAGGTCTGCTCACCCTGGCTGGTGTTGCCACGGCTGTTTCTGCTGTTGTCCTCTGTGTGAACAGCTTAACCTGGCAAAGCGATGGCTTCTTCTACATCGACTCAGTGTGTGACAGCCCAGTCCCTGCCTCCACAACCACTGGGTACACATGGATGCGGCAAAGAAGCTACCGCTCCAGCTGGAGTGAGGATAATTGCAGAGTCTACATGCGAATGCTGATGGTGAGAATGGAGAGTCCAGTCTTCTAGGGACTCATCACAACCTTTTGTTCCCAAGGAATTGGGGCACTGGAGGGCAGATATGTAGGCTCTTTGCGCTTGGACCTCATCCTAGGTCTTTGGTTCAGGAGGTTTTAACTTGGGCTGAAGACATTTCTCAGACCTTAATGACGTGAAGATTCCCTGAATCAAAGGGAATGAGGGGCAAAGAGGAGACATTTAAGAGAGGATATTGTGGGCCACCGTCTGTCTTTCCTGGTGTGTGGGTGTTCTAGTTACCTATTGCTGCATAACACACCACCCCGAAGTGTAGTGGCTTAAAACTACAATTTGTTATTATTTCTCACATTCTGTGGATTGACTGGGCTCAGATGGGCAGTTCTCACTTGGGTCTTCTCATGCAGTTCAGATGTCAATGGGGGGTGAAGTCATCTGAGGCCTCAGCTGGGCTGGACATCCAAGATGGCACACTCCATGGCTGGGAGCTTAGCTGGGGCTATCAGTCAGAGGGCCTACGATGGCTTCACCATGTGGCTTGGGCTTCTCATAGCACAGCAATTAGGTTCCAACAGGGAGCATCGCACTGTAAGCATTCCAAGAGGTAGGAAATGGAAGCTGTCAGGCCAGTTAAGGGCTACCCCGGTAATTGGCATAGTGTCACTTCTGCTGTATTTTATTGGTCAAAGCAGTCACAGGCCCTTCCAGATTCTAGGGGGTGGAGAAATAGACCCCACCTCTTCACAGGCGGTGTAAGGTCACATTCCAGAAGAGCAGATGGGGTGGAAGCTGTGGCTGCCCAAAGAGTTGGAAACTGCAATCTGCTTGGAAGTAGTTAGTTGGACAGAGTCTGATACCTGGTTGGGTTGGTAAGGTGGTAGTAAGAGCAGAATCAGAGGAGTGGACTCCTGACTATATCGTTTTTCTTCCTTTTTCTCCAGAACTTGTTCCTGGGAATTCGTGCTCTGCTCCTGGCTGTCTGTGTCCTGCAGGTCGTTGTATCCTTGGCTTCCCTGGGCATGGGTCTTCGAAGCTTTTGTGGCCAGAGCTCCCGGCCCCTGGTGAGCTGTCAGGGGGGCACTGGGTAAAGAGTGGGAATGGTTGGTGAGGTTCTGGGAACAGGGAGGAGCAGTGGGGCCAGGCACGCTGCTTAGCAGAGTCACGCTTGATCTCAGCCACTTGCCAGGGCTCGGCTCTTCCTTTTGCTGTCTGGGGAATGTGACCCCATCACTGCGTCCTGAATTAACTTCCACCCTCTGCCTCTCCTCGCTCTCCTTTACTCTCATTTCCCCACTTTCCCCTCCTTTCTGTCCTAGATCTTTGTCTAGCTCCCCTTCTGCTGTCACCTTTTCCTTCCCCTTCTTTCCTTTTCCTGATTTCAAGTTCTATGAAGCTAACTCTGCCCCATCCTTTTCCCCCAAAGAATCGATTTCTCCCTGTTTTTTCAGGATGAGGAAGTGTCAGAGAAGAAGCTCCTGGAGGAGAATTCAGTGCCTCCCTCCCCCTCCAAGGAGAAGACCACGGCTGCCGTCATCCTGTGAGCTGCCCAAGACCCTGCCTGGACCGCTGCATGTCCCTGCAGAGTAGCCCAGGGTGCTCCTCAGGGCCCCTCACTGCCCTGTCCCTCACACTTGCCTCTCCTTTGGCCACTGTCCAGTACCTCCTCTTCTCCCTACCACCCTCACTCATTGTTCCCACTCCAGTGTCCTCAGTTCAAGGAACAGGTATTGTCACATCTTTCCTCAATGCTAATTAAACAGAAACAACCAGGAAAATAATTTTGCACAGAAAGGATGTAGTCTCCCTTTGTTTTTACACATGGCGTGCTGTGAAAGGCCCATCTTTGTGTTGGTGTGGATGGGATCAGACGAGAGCTGATTTATCACATGGAAACAAGGTCCCAATAAGACTAAATTTAATTATGTTCTGCTCTATATCCCAAGTGGCAAAACTCCTTGTTATGATTTCCTTCCGTTCAATGTAAAGTGAAAAAAACTCTCATATGCTTAGAACCTTTTAGAGACAGTCTACTAAGACTGTCTTTAGGCATCTACAACCTTGACTTGTATTTACAGAACTATGTGAAGTGTGGAACAAGATTTCTCCCTCCCTCCCTCCCTTCTTTCTTTCTTTTTTGTAGTAATTAGTGTTGGTTTTCTCTCTCTCTAAACACACACACACACACACACACACATCTGTTATTCTTCACTATCGTTGTAAATGATATGCTCAATTTGTTTTTTACTTTTTGCATTTTCTTCATACATATATAAATATATAATATAAATGTATAGATGTAAGCATTTCTAGAGGGTAAGAAAACAGGTTATGGTCTGTAGAATTAAGAAGTGAGAGTGATTCTGGCTTTTTTCTAATTCCACCGTAGTGAGCAGCCTTGCATCTTCATGATGAAATCTCTGTGAGGTAGGTTTTGTTACTTAGCAGACCCACAGGAGAGGAACTGGTCAAACGAAGCTGACTGGCTCAGAGCCCCACCTTTACCCACTGCACAATACTGCCTCAGGGGCTGAGCCGAGCAGTGCAGAGGTGCTGCAGTGAGTGAGGCCTGGCCCCACGCGTGGAGGGCCTTCATCTCTCTCTCCAGGGCTCCTCACCCGTCTAGTCCTGAGATAGAGGTTTGTAAATAAGCTTGTGTAATAAAAGGTGACAGAGACAAGGCAGAAATATGTTCAGAGTATTGGGCAGTAAACGGAGGTGTTGGACAGGGGTTGGCAGATTACGGCCTGAGGGTCAAATCCCATCTGCCACCTATGTTTGTAAATAAAGTTTATTGAAACACAGCCATGCTCATTTGTTCACACATTGTCTACGGTACAAGGGCAAAGTTGAGTAGTCTCAACAGAGACTGAATGGCCCACAAGGCCTAAAATATTTACTACTAGCCCTTTTACAGAAGAAGTTTGCTGTCCTCTGGTGTAGGGGGTGGAGGGATGGCTGGTTCTACTGGGTGGTTGACAGGAGCCTATGTTGTTGCTGCTGCAGGTGTGAATCTGCCCCTCGATTCGCTGGCCTGCAGCCTGGGCAACACGGGGAGCTTTCGAGAGCTGCAGATGCTCTGCCCTAGCCCAGACCTGCTGAATCAGATTCACACTTTCACAGGATCTGCAGGGGCTTCACGAGCTCAGCATGCTCTGAGAAGCATGGGTTTATGTAATCACATCCAGGCGGCTTGCCGGGGAGAATTCAGATGTTCAGCAAGGTCCCTTGAATTTAATCTCTTTGTTTTAATTCTTTTTATGAACTTGCTAACCTTAGAGTTTTAAAAAGGAATTTTAGTGATAAGAAACACAAACCCAAGATGTTGGTAAGAGAAGGCATCTTTACTTTCCTCCTTAGCTTAAGATGCTATTAATTTCCATGCTTCTGTGTTTCTCAACCAATCCTTTTATGGCCAGATCAGATAGAAATTCTTTTCATTTCTCATTCTGGCGAATAAATGTCAACGTGGGTTTTTTTTTTGTGGTTGTTGCATGAAATGGTCTCTTACTGTCAGAGTCTGGCAACTTCTTTTTTTTCCCCTGAAGTGTCTAAGTTTCTGAGGCAAGGTGGCCTGCACTCTATCTGACCCCCCTAGCCTCCCCAGCAACCCTCTTCTCACCCTGTGAATGACCTTGGAAGTTTCTGAATCTTTGTTTTCCTTTTCTGTAGGAAATCGGATGTCACACTTCTCTCCCCTGGCTTTTGTTTACTTAGAAAACCCGACAGCTGTTTGTCTGTTTGCACAACTCAGTCTTGGTGGCGAAGCTGTCTATATACAATGAAAGGACTTAATGGCCCTAACATGGGGTCAGGCAAATCATCCCAAACCTATTTATATGTAATATATTTATTGAAGGATTTAAAACCATACAGAGTATAAACAGGAAATGGTTCTATTTTTCTTTTCTAATCACTGCTCTTAACTGTGTTTTGTCAACTCCCCATTGGATACTGGGTCCTTTAACATCAGGACCAGATTCCAGATTCCACAACTTGATCGTTAAAAAGGTCTCAGGTTTGGTGTTCAAGACCCAGTCCTATTCATTTCCGAAACTGCCGTCATCAGAGCTTGGACCCCCCGTCCCGGGGCTGAGAGGCTGCTTGGACTGGGAGGGGCGGGAAAGGGGTGTGGTCTGGGTGTGGGGCTCCTCCGCCATTCCTTTCCTGCGGCTCCCCGCTCCCACTCCGGTTGGGACAGGGAAGAGGGACGAAGGGCAGGGCTTCCTTGGTGCCTGCTGCAGGAGGCAGCGGAGGGGATGGGAGTCGGGGATTTCTCGTCTCGGCCGAGATCCGGCTGATGTCCGTGGCCTTTGCTGACGTGGTGTGGGTGGTGGTTATTCTCCTTGCTCAATCTGAGAGGCACCTGGGAATTCCCCCC